AATATTTAACAGTAAAGAAAATGATTGATGAAACAGTAGCGTAAGGAGAAAACAGAGAAAAAGGAGATTTGGTGGGACTAGAACTTGAGCACGATTGTAGGCTGAGACTATAGACATAAAAAAAAAAAAAGCTTAAAAACAAAAGAGAGAAAGCAATAAGATACTATGCAGAAAAATTTTTTAAACACAAAAATTTAAAAACACATAAGGGGCTTTGGAGCAGACTGTTCTGAGTTCAAATTCTGATCCTGCTGCTTAGTAACTAAAAGTCTCTCTGAGTCTCAGTTTCCAAATGTATGAACTAGTGTAATTGTGACTCCTTTTATTAAGTTTACACAAAATGTTCTGTGCTCGCTGGCATGTAAGAAGCAGTCCCTCCCCATCTCCCATCCATAACTCCCCTCTGCTCTACCCAAAACTAGGATTGCCAGATAAAATGAGTGCAACATTTGAGATATACTTTTACTAAATGGTTCCTTGCTTACCTTAAGTTTACATTTAATGAGACACATTGTTTTCGTTTTTCCTAAATCTGGCAACTCTACCCAAAATAAAATATCTTGTGTCCAACATACTGTGATAAAAACTGAAGGCCAGCGTGAAGATGTAAAATGGTGGATGGTGCTGCCTCCTGCTGGTGTCATGTGGCAATACGAACCAGCGAAGATTTCCACTTTACAGGTGGTTTTCTTAAAAACAGCAAATCACAAGACATTCTGTGAAGGAGAGGTGGACCTTTTATTATATTACTAATATTTTAGTTTAAATTTATTTCTACTGTAATCATATATCTTTTAATTTTCACTGGTACCAATACATATGCATATATTTTTTTAGCCATGTAGTTTTATACTTCAGTTTTTGTCAGTTACTAGAATATTACTGCACATTCATAACTTATGCTTTCCTATTGAATTCCAGCATACTCTTTGTATTTGTTTTAAATTGTACATCTTCACTTACAAAACTTCCTTAAAGTCACTGGCAGTACATCCATATTCATTTTTCCTTGCAAAAATATGTGTTTTATGTGCATCTTAAAATACCGGCACATACAGTAAGGGAAGCACTGGTACACAATAGGTGCTCGATAAAATCATGGTATTGTATTATTTTAGTGATATCACGTTAGTATAGTGTTATTCCAGAGGGACTCGGTGATGGTGTCACATAAGTGGTCCATGATAACTAGAAGGACAAGTGAAGCTTTCTGAATGTATCCCCCAGCAGGAGTTGAAAAAATACAAAAGCTGGCACAGCCACTGCTCTCTCAGGATTTGTCAATTGAATGGTCAATGGAATGAGCAGCAAGCGTTTCTCTCTCTCCCCACAGCTCATCGGTGGTGATTGCAACGTTCTCCTTCTTCACTTGTTTGGTGGGAGGCAAATACCTGTGCTTTTCCGGAGAAGTTGCATTCACTAGAGCTGTCTGTGCTAACAAGTTTAGCTTTGCGTCAGGAACACAACTGGGTCCACAGGCGGAGAAGCCCAGGTCGTCCCATGAAAGAAAAGCCACCTTAGGCTTGTTTGTAAGAAAAGGACCAGAGGTGTGGTCAGTGTGGAGCACCTGGAGGCAGGAACAGAGGTTTCCATCCTTGGTAAATGCTTCTCCATCTGTTGAGGTTTCACAAGGGACTCCCCAGATCAGGGCCATTTTCAGTCTTTTCACTTGTTTTATTGTGATCATTCTGCTATCTGTCATTAACAGAAAATTCCTCTTTATTCTTGTAATCTAGATACACATCTTACTACAGAAATGGAATTGGAATCCAGCTTGGAGAAAAATGAGCAGTTTCTACAGAAGCTGGGTGAAAAGGCTGTCGACAAGTGTCTAGACCTAAATAACTGCAGGTTATCAACAGCGGATGTGAGGGAAATGGGTCTGTATGCAGTTGAGTTCACACAGAAGAAAATTGGCCTTTAGATTGAGAAGAGCAGGCAAAACACACTCACTACTCACTTGGTAACCCAAGGTGTGCTGGGTGGCTCCAGACAATTTCAAAACAGCAGCTGCATCGCTATTTTTTTTTTTTTAACGAGCTAATTCATCCTTTCTCCACCTTCAAAGATTTGAGCTGAGTTTAGGAGGAAGTTTCATTTGTTTGTGTTTCCTGAGCAGTTTTACCTCCCAACTGATTGTCTCTTGCTCCCTGAAAAACATCTGTTCTTGCATGTGATATAAACTCATGAAACTCAGCCATAAAACAGAAGCTTCTTGGGAATTTAAAGGAGTATTGTGTTATTTAGTCATCTGTAGAATGAAAATATAACTACTATTATTTAGTCATCTGTGGAATGAAAAATATAACTATCAGCCATTATTGCTTACACCTTCTGTCCACAAAAGTATCTACACTTTTTACACGTAAGCAGGAGTTTAATTGTGAAGGACGCCACCACTGCCACCTCTTATTCCCTCTTTTTTTCATATGCTTAAATCAACTCTTTAATCAAATTAAATGTGTCTATCAAGAGAGAGGTATCAAAAGAACTGCATTTCGAATGAGGGGTCCTTGACTTTTAATTAAAATCCCCACCATTGTATTGTAGACAATTCTCAGAGAGATCTCTAACCATGCCTGCGCTTCTCAAATGCCTCTGTGTCAGAATCACCTGCCGAGCTTGTGGAAATGCAGGCACTTGAGTCCAACCCAAATCCACTGAATCCGCATCTCTGAGAGTAGGCCCCAGGAACCCTGGCCTTTCCCCACCCACACACACACTCCCTTTCTTAATGTGGTCAATAGACTCATAATTTATAAAGTTAGGATCATGGTGAACAATACGAAATTGCTAACTTATGTTGAATGCTAGTGAAAAGAAAATAATTTTTGTCTCCTAAGCACGGCCTCAGAATTTTGGAAGGACAGGAGATGCTGTGCCTATCACTATAGAAGCTCAGCGTGCTGTTTCTGACTGGGGCCATCCTTTTAACATTCAAGACATATTTAAAAGCAAAGATGCTTTACTCCTTCTATGTTGGCATTTCTGCTCTCACATCGCGTTGCTTCAGGAGATAATGATGGCCTCTGAGGATCTTTTTCACAGAGAGTAACTTCACTTTTAACGAGTAATGGCAGACTCAGAGAAGGTTTCAATCACACTTCATGCCTGTCTAAATCTCCATACGTAAGTCCATTTAAGTATAACATAGCTTTTTAAAGTGATGATACCCAAGTAACCAAGATAAAAAGGAAAAGGTAACAGGCGCCATCAATCTCAGCAATCCTGGCTCACAGAGCAGTCCCTGGACCATCAGCCTGTGGATTAAATAGGTTGCAGAGTGACCGATGTCAGAGGGTTTTGCAGAATAAAGACTAGCATACACATTACAGTGACAGTGGCAGTAACAATAGAATTACCGTTTACATTACAATGAAGGAAGCCCTATGAAATTTTATGGAGATACCCCTGTGTTTTCAGAATGCAGTTATTTGGCAGAAATAGAAAATGCCCCAAGAAACAGGAAGTGTAAATGTCACAGTCTCCCCAATTGCAAGGCTGAGAGATCCTGCTTTGCTGGAAGTCCACATGCCCACACCCCCTCTGTTCTCTTGCAGAGTAAAACTATATCTTATAGGAAAAGCCAATTAATCCTATTTACCAAGCATCACAAATATGAAAATCTATATTTTCTTTTCTTCATGTCTAGTTGCTTTGCTGCCATCTCTCCCAGACTTGGAAAAACTGGATATTTCCTGGAATGATTTCATAGGTGGAACTCTCCATTCAATCACGGAGCAAATACATGTTGTCAGCAAGTTAAAAAGCCTGAGGCTGGGTAGTTGCAAACTTACCACTGATGATGTTCGAGCACTGGGTATGATGAATGCTTCTTATGAAAGACTCACTTAAAACACCTTTGCAGACCAACCCTCAAGGGTAAACTATCTGGGTCTCCACCCCCTCCAGTGCTCCTGAATGAGAGTACTGTGCATGATGCAATGCAGTGTTGAGCACTGGTATAATTTCTAAAGAGCTGTGTAACCTGTACCTAACATTGTACTAAGCCCTGGGATAGAGAAGGGAACAGGGCTGACCAGGTAACTGCTGTCATGGAGTTTAAATGGAGGAGATAGTAAAATTTGCTCACTCTGTTACCTCATCTGTAAAAGAGAGGAGTTGGGGGAGATACGAATTCTTTTCCAATTCCAAAATAATCTCTTCTATTTTTCTACTCCCATTTAAAAAATTGATCAAAACAAAATTTTTCAACTAAAAGAAATGGTTTAAATAGAAGTAGAACCTCAATTTAGTTAGTTTATATGCTGAACATAAAATAACATCAATAGGATAAAATCTGTTATGCTAACCCAAATGCTTTACTAGTTTTAGATGTCATTCATACTTCTTTATTCTTCTTTTGGTCTAATGTTTCTTATTTCGATGATGTGTTTTGATCATTTACATCTCTGCAGAGATTTCTGTAAAAACAACACAATTCATGCCAATTGTCTTCTTTGTGATCCCTCTCTCCATTGAAAATGGGGTCAGCTGATGACCTCCGGCCCATCCTCCTGATAGCTGAGAAAAATCATTATGTATATTTTAGATCTGGCCATACCCTGGTTCAAATCCTAGTCCCACTTCTAATTATCTTTGTGACCATGGACAAATTATTTAAACTTTCTGAGCTTTGGTTTTCTTATCTCTGAAATGGGGGTGATATCCACTTCAAAAAATTGTTACGAGGGTTAAATAATTTCCATAACATATCTACTACATATCTGGCACATAATAGGTGCTCAGTAATTGAGAGTTCCTCCTTTCCCTCTTCCCTCAATCCAAAATTACCTTTCTGTGGTTTTACATGAGCAATTTAGCTCCACTGGATAGAAGCTGGTTATTGTGTAGTGGAGTCACAAATTTAACACACTGTTACTCGGGAGTGAAAAGAAAATGTAATTTCTTTATTTTCTTTGATTCACCTAATCTTCATGATCCTCTATCCTTAAGAGAGCAGGAAATGGAATTTATGCCCTGAGACCCACTCCAAGCTTATCTGGTCCAGGAGAGAGTGTACACCTTTGTTGGTCTGATGTCATGTGGCCTTTTGCCTCTCCCAGAGTCTTTTGCCTCTCTTCTCCCATCAGAAGAGGCTTTCCTCTTCCTTAATGGCAGATGAGGTATAGGGGGAATACTGGTATACTGATAAGAGGACATAAATCAGGAGGCATTTCCATGTTATTACACCTATTACATTTGCATAGTGCAAGATGGCAAATGCATAGTACTCTAGTACCATGAGCATTGCCGACGTAGCTAATCAATCTTATACTCATTCTTCCTTATCCTGGAAGATGCTTCAGGGTTATAGAAAGCCACCCCCAAAAGAATGTGCATTTTAACATGGAGCTCCTGGGCAGCTAAACCATGCAATGAATAACCAATGGTAGAAGTTCAAGCCCAGTAGTAGACAGCAGAAGAAAAGCTTTGACTGTCCAGCACTCTTGTTTGGTGTTAAGATTGCATGGTTAGAAAGCACATTTTCTGTGTGTGGCTCCCCATCCTGTTCTCCTCAAGGCAGAGAAAATCGTTCCCTAGAGCTGATCTCCCACTTCACGTACCCTGTTCTTCCCCAGCCTCCACTCTGTAGCCTGTGGTTGCTTCCTTGTGTGAGATGGTTTCAGAAATGTCTGGTTTCACCCCATTATCACTGCACCCTCCTCTACCCACAAAGGCTTCAGGGCCATTATGAGCTGCTAGGGCCTGATGCTCTATTATTAATTCTTCTGTGTAGTGGTCAGCTGTATGTGGCATTCTTGATGTCAAAGTGAGCTTTACCACTATGGGGCTCAGGGGCTGGCTTTGCCTCACTTCTACCTCTAGTCAAGCTTCTCAGCAATGCTACTTCTGTAGAGGGTAGATGAGAGAACGTAGATGGACTAGTCAAATGTTTACCACCACAAAAACTCAGTAAAACCACCCTACTGACAGGTGGAGTTTTTTACAAAAAATTTTGCCTGTAAGCATGGCTCCAGACCTTTGGAGGAACCAGATATACTGTGCCTGTAAATATGAGAGTTTCTGGCAGGAAATGAATCCTTTTCTTCTCTCTGTTCCTTGACACCTACCCAGCACCTGGCCAACCTTTGACACTCTGTAAATAATGTTAGGACTGATTTTGAAACAAATTACCTGCTTTGCAGACTAATGATCAATCTTTGGACCATTTTGTTACAGGAGAAGCACTTAAAGCATTGCCTGAGCTTGAAGAGCTGAATTTGTCCTGGAACAGTAAAGTGGGAGGAAACTTGCCTCTGATGCTCCAGAAGTTCCAAGAAGGGAGCAAGATTCAAACGCTGGAGCTCGTGGATTGTGCTCTCACATCAGAAGATGGGGTGTTTATGGGTAAGCGTTTTGGAAGAGTCCTTTCCAGAAAAAAAAAAAAGAGAGAAAATGCCCACAATTGAATAGCTTGGGAGTCAAAGCTGGCTGTGTTTCACCCTGAATTGAAAGAGGGGCTCATTCCATCCTGGGTCACATGACCGCCAGGCTGAGCTCCCCACCTGCCTGCCTGGCTCGCAGATCCTGCATTTTTAATGAGTTGCTCTTTCTGTTCGGATTCCCTTCCTTCTAGGTCAGTTGCTGCCGATGCTGCAAAGTCTCGAAGTACTTGATCTTTCCATTAACAGAAATATTGGTGGCAGTCTGAACAGTATTGCTCAGGGATTAAAATGTACCTCAAATCTGAAAGTACTGAAGTTACAGTCATGTGGATTATCACAAAAGAGTGTCAAAGGATTGGGTGAGTTAGCAATGGCTGAAGCTTATATACCTATGCACATATGTATGTTTATTTTATACATAATTTCATTTTAAAATTATATATACAATTTTATACATAAATTCATTTTAAAATTATATATACAATTTTATACTTAATATTTTAAACTGTCAGGAAATACAACGCAATATAAACAGTAGTTATGTTGGAAAGTAAGATTATGGGTAATTTATATCTTCTTTATGTGTTATTCATTTTCTTTTACAGTGAGCGTATACTTTCATGATTACAAAAATAACCTTTTTAAATGGCTGAATCTGAAAAGGCCAGGATATTTTAAATTTGAGATAGATACTAGGCAAAATAAAAGTTTCTGTGCTATTAAAAATCTCCATTTTTTTCTTACTTTTGAAAATGTCAGCGTCATTTTTTGGTCGTAATGGGAAATAATTGGTACTGATAAAAAGGATGGCTTCAGTGGTATCTGCAGTTAAAACTTATTTTTCTATATAGAGCATCCACGGCAAAGTAGACTATATAACGAAATTGTGTTTTTCCCCTTCGACTTACAGAGCCTGTAATATCCTTCTCACTGGCAGTTTGAGTAAGTCTAAAATTCTATGAAAATGCCAAAGCTCGAGTATAGCAGGAGAACCATTAGGGGCAAGATTCTGACCAAAACCATTACGTGTTCGAAGCCATGTTGGGTCTGAAAAAGGCTAGCTGTTGGAAAGTCTACGTTTATTCCTCTGCCCTGGCTTATGTCACTATGGAATATTTTCTTATTCTCCCTTCTGCACACCTGCCCCCTCCCCTGCTCCACACTGTCCTACCATCTTGCGATATGTCAGAATGGGATTTTTACTTTCTTTGTAGATGCTGCTTTTAGATACTTGGGTGAGCTGAGGAAACTCGACCTTTCCTGCAACAAGGAGCTAGGCGGAGGTTTTGAAGACTCACCAGTTCAGCTGGCCACGCTGGGACGTCTGGAGGTCCTGGATCTTCACCAGTGCTCGCTAACAACAGGCGACGTGTTATCACTGAGTAAGTGTGTGCTGTGGAGCCAAGGAGGACTTCTGGAGCCTTGGCGTGTGTCTGAAAACTTGGCAAAGTTGAGACGCACCTTTAAACTTACTGTGTATGAAATCACCGGGAGGATCAAACCATAAAAATCCTGTGAGTGCCCCAATATAGTATTTGGCATGTAGTAAGTGCCCAGTAAAAGTTGGTGAACCTAAATTCCTCCTACACACGTCTGTAAATGACAAATGTGGCCCCTGAAAGAGAATATTTTAAACTTACGCTGGTGGTCAGAAACAACTCCATTAGTGTCACAAGTTTATTACAAACGGAGAAGTAGAGAGAAAGCCAGCATAGTGTAACAGCAGGATTAGCCTCTTATCTAGATTCACAGCCACCAACGTGGGTGAATGGCCCTGTAAAGCTAACGATTATTTAATAACTTATAGCAAATTGCCTTCTGTGTAATTTTGAAAAAGTGGAAATGAAAATACATCCTGTTGATGCATTATGTAGTAAATACATAACACCTTATGTTATCAAATAATTAAACATTCTTTTATCCGCTCATTCTAGATAGCTCCAAAGAAATGGAATTATAGATCATTTAGCCAGCAACTACTGATTAATCATCTAATTATACTAGGCACCATGCCATGGGCTTAGGAAAATTCACAGCAAAGAAGCTTCAGTTTGATATTTATTAAACCAATAAATATCCAAATTACATGGCAAAATAAGAAGTGCCGAGGGGATTAGAACAGGAAGAAATTGTTACATCTCTTGAGGTCACAAGTGCCTGCCTTCCTTTCCTTCCCTCCACCTTTCCTTCTCTGGTCCTCTTTCCCACGAACGTTTGTACCTCAAATGTTCCAGGTTCCGATGCACACTCTGGGGCTGAAGCAGCCCCTACATGCAGAGCTCACCTTCAATGAGGGAGATCAGAAGACACACACATACACAAACAAAAACATCACATGATGGGTGCTTTGAGGAAAATAGAATAGGGCAATATGGGAGTGATCAGAGTGTTACTGTGGCTTAGGTGGCCCTGGCAGGCTCGAAGCAGGTGAGCTGGCCCCACGGAGAACTCAGGATATTGCATTTCCCACACTGGAGAGGGCGAGGGCAAAGGCCTGGAGGCAGGAAAAGCAGCTGAAAGATGGTGATGCAGGGGTGACCTTATGGCACAAGGGCCGTCAGGACCCCACTCCAGTGCTGCCACCTATAGACGTCTGAGTGCTCGATTCACTGCTTTCCTGGTACTTACGTTCTGAGAAAAGAATTATAATGTTGAACATTAACTGAGCAGTGAATGTGTGCCAGGCACTGTACCAAATACTTTACATTTACCAATGTTTTATCTTCCTAATGACCCTGTGAGGTAGAATTGTTATTACTACTGAGAATACTGAGGTTCAGAGAAGTTAAGTAACTTATCCAAAATCACAGTTCTTTAGTAGCAAAGCCAGAAATAGAACCTAGTTCTGTCTCCAGAGTCTTTACTTTTAACTTCTAG